CCATCTGGGGTGGGCCGGGTGGCTGGGGGGAGTCACCACAGGAGGTTGGCCTGCGGGGGAGGGGCTGTGGGAGGTTGGCTATGGGAGTGCACTGACAACCAGGGGCAGCTCATGCATTGAGCATCTGCCCCCTGGTGGTCAGTGCATGTCATAGTGACTGGTTGACAGGTCGTTCTGGTTGCTTAGCTTTTATATATATAGACCAGAGGCTCAGTGCATGAAATTCGTGCATGGGTGGGGTCCCTAGGCCCGGCCAGCGATCAGGACAGATCAGGTTCCCTGCCTCCCTGCCGCCCCCCTTCCCTTGCTGCCACCACATGGTTCCCTGCCTTCCTGCCTCCCTGCTTCCCCCCCTTTCCTTGCCGTCTGCGTCCACCGCCACCCACCCCCGGTTCCCCATCTCAGCCTGGGGCCTGGCCCTGATAGGACAATCGGGGCCTGTTGCCCAGGGGGAGGGCCCAACCACCACTTTGGTAGGTGGACAGTGGGCTGATCATGGCTTGCCGGTGGGAGGGAGGGGTGGGAGAAGGGACCTGGGAGGTTGGCCGCCAGCCCCAAGAGGGAGCTGGCCCTCGGCCCCCTGGGAAAGGGGCCGCGTACACCACCACCAACCCCCTGTTCCCCATCCCAGCCCAGGGACCTGGCCGTGATCAGGTATTGGGGCCTGTCGGCCAGGGGGAGGGACCAGGAGGTTGGCCAGCAGGCCCCATGGGAGATCGGGGCCTGCGGGCTGGGGGTGGCTCCTGAGTTGTGCATCTGACCCCTGGTGGTCAGTGCATGTCATAGTGAACAGTCGTTCCAGTCAATCCATCATAACGGTCCCTTAGGCTTTTTATTTATTTATACACACACACACACACACACACACACACACACACACACACACATAAATATGTATAAATATATATATGTGTGTGTATATATATATATATATATATATGACACAGATCACCTTTCCTACAGTTTCCAATAACCTCATTTTTGCCTAAGACCTTACTAGAATGACCTTTAATGTTTATATATCTACCAGCATTATGTTCATGATGATACATATATTCTCTAAGATGATAGAGACTTTTTCTATAGTTCTCACATTTTATCCCTGACACTTTGCCAGAATCACTTTTTTAAAACAATATCGTTTTATTGATTTTAGAGAGGAAGGGAGAAGGAGAGAGATACAAACATCAATGGTGAGAGAGTCATTGATTGGCTGCCTCCAGCATGCCCTCCACTGGGGATCGAGTCCGCAACCTGGGCATGTGCCCTGACTGGGAATGGAACTGTGACCTCCTTTGATGCTCAACCACTGAGCCACCCCGGTCAGACCAGAATCACTTGTAACGTCCATATTTTTACCAACAGTCCCTTCCCAGCAGTCTAGGTTTTTTTTTTTTAGCATGTACCTCAAAACTCCTCTAGCCTCTACCATTACCTAGTTCCAAAGTCACTTCCAGATTTTAGGTATCAGTAACAAAATTGGTATTAGGGTTCTTCAGAGAAACTGAACCAGTAAGATGTGTGTGTGTGTATTTATAAAGAGGTTTATTATAAAGAATTGACTCCCTTGATTATACGGGCTGACAGGTCCCAAGACCTACAGTTGACAAGTGGAGACTCAGAATAGCTGATGGTGAGGTTCAACTCTGAGTCCAAAGGCCTATAAATCAGGATTGCCAATGGTGTTATCCCAATCTGAAGGCTGGCAGGCTTGAGACCCAGGAAGAGCCTGTTTTAGTTCAGGTCTGAAAGCAGGACAAACTGATGTTTCAGCTTGAAGACAGTCATGAAAGAAGAAGAATTTTATATTTAGGAGAGGGTCAGCCTTTTGTTTTCTTTAGGCCTTCAGCTGACAGGGTGAGACCCACCCACATTAGGGAGAGCAGTCTGCCTTACTCTATCCCATTAAATGGTAAACTTATCCCAAAACTTAACTCACAAAAACACTCAGAATATCTGGGCATCTTGTGGCCCAGTCAAGTTGATACATAAAATTGACAATCATTGCTACATTTCCTATTTCTTTGTATCCTGCTGGTTTTCACCATGGACAGCGTGAATGATATAGTGTAGGTACTTTGGATTCTTTTGATTTAGCAGGCAGTTAGTTAACTTTGCCAAACTCAGACCCTAGACTCTTGTATTCCCTGTGATGGGCAACAGCTGAAATTTTTGTCCAATTCTTTTAATGTTAGCTGGACACTTGGAGTTGTTTCATGCATACATATTTTAGGAGATAGTCCCAGACTTGGGCTAAGTTTATTGAAAGGATTTGGACTTTCCTTCTGTGGCTCTCTCCCTTCTTGGATACCCTTTTTTCTTATTGTTGAGTTATAGTAATTGCTTCTGTTCTCTAGTCCAGTGGTGTATTTGGATTATAATGGTTTATTCTTCTCATTTCCTTGCAAGTTAGTGGATTATTTTTATACTTTTGATATTTTATTATAAGCGCTAGAAATAGAATCCTACCTTATAATTGATTATAGTCAGTTTTTTCCTGTCTGCTTTTTGGGAAAATTTGAATATGTTAGAGATGTGATGTATAAGTAACATGTAAACAATACCTTTTCCCCTGGCTTTATTTAATTTTACTAATGCTTTGAAATATCTGACATCCTTTTACTCTTTATTATACACAGATTAGTGTTGAAAGTGGAGCTGAAAAATAATATAGCTTTTCTATAACTTTTTCTTTTCCATCTGATGCAATTATTGTCTGGCCTATTCTTTAGCCTAATCAGGACATTATTAACATTTTGGGCTGGATAATTCTTTTTTTTTAATTAAAAAAATATGTTTTATTGATTTTTTTATAGAGAGGAAGGGAGAGGGATAGAGAGTTAGAAACATGGATGAAAGAGAAACACCCGTTAGCTGCCTCCTGCACACCCCCTACTGGGGATGTGCCCACAACTAAGGTACATGCCCTTGACTGGAATCGAACCCGGGACCTTTCAGTCTGCAGGCCGATGCTCTATCCACTGGGCCAAACCCATTAGGGCTGGATAATTCTTTTGGTGGATGACTGTCCTGTGCATTATAGGATGTTTAGTAACATCTCTAGTCTATCCATTAGATGCCACTAAACCTAGCCTCTGCTCCCCTGCCGCTGCCAAGCAAAACTCTCTCCTGGGGACACAATTTCTTCTAGTTGAGAAGCACTGAGCCTAAAGCTAATGAGGAAAATACTAAGTTATATAGGCTTCTTTGTGTTCTAATTATACTGTGATGTTTATAGGTAAATAGTTCTTGTAAAGATGATGACTCTAAACAGAAGCAACCAAACAGGAAAAAGAGGATCATCTATGATTCAGGTAACATTTCTTTTGAGGAGCTTTAAAGTTTTAAAATTATTTTCTATCCCTTAGAACAGAGTTTTTCAAACTGATGTTCTGAGACACACAGCTCTCTATGATGGTAATAGGTGCTCATGTGAGAAGGCTCTGTGCTTGATACAGTAAAAAACAATTTTATTATACTGCAGACTTTATCAGAGCCTATCTATATTAATGCATTAGAGATTTTTCTTAGAGAGGAATATATTATGTATAGTATATATAGCATGTCTCCAATTACTTTGACTATATTATTTTAAAAAATATCACCTTCTTGTCCAGCTAAGGTTCTGAGAAGCTTAACTTGAAAAATAGTGCCTTAGAATGTTGCTTTAGAAACAGATCTAAAATTTAATTTTTGTGCTTTTGAGATTGTCCTTTTTTGTTTCATTTAAAATAGGACAAACACGATTGTAAAGTTTTTCTTTGAATATAATTTTAAGATAGGGAATATGAATCTTTATGCATGCCTTTTATATCTTTAAATAATGGTAGGACTCAGAAGGTGTTAGGTTTTGCTTTGTGGAGAAGATCCATCTGGTGTGAACTCTAAAATTAAAAATGTAACCTAAGGAAGCATTTATAGATGGTCAGGATTTTAACAGTGACGACAAAGAACTTGGACTCAATTCTAAAAGCACTTGTGTGATTATTGAGTCTTACTGCTGTATATTGTAAGAAAAAAAATTTTTAATCCTCGCTCGAGGATATTTTTTATTGATTTTAGGGAGAGATACATCAGTCAGTTGCTTCCTGTACATGCCTGGATGAGGAATGGAACTTGTAACCTTTTTGGTTTATGGCACCGGTTCTCAACCTGTGGGTCACGACCCCTTTGGGGGTTGAACGACCCTTTCACAGGGGTCGCCTAAGACCATCCTGCATATCATATTTACATTATGCTTCATAACAGTAGCAACATTACAGTTATGAAGTAGCAACGAAAATAATTTTATTGTTGGGTCACAACATGAGGAAATGTATTTAAAGGGCCAGAAGGTTGAGAACCACTGGTGTATGGGATGATGCCCCAACCAACTGAGCCATCCGAACAGGGCATAAGAAATTTGAAAGAAGTATATATCCCCATTTCCCATGAGTTTCCATCTGTTTTTGGAAGCTGGAAGTTTAATTTTTGGATACAATATAGAGTAGTATGAGATATGATTTCTAAACGCATGATGAAAAGGAAGAACACTAACGTTCATGAAACACTTATTTTGTGCTAGGCACTATACTGGATACTTACACTTTGTCCTGATTTATATTTAAGGGCTCTGGGTGACTAGGTGGTGGTAGACAGAATAATGGTCCCCAAAGATGTGTGCCCTAATTCGTGGAACCTAGTTTACATCGCAAAGGGAAATTAAAGTCGTAGGTTGCATTAAAGTTGTTAATCACATGGCCTTAAATTAGAGAGATTGTCTTGGATTATCTGGGTGGGCCGAATGTAGTCACAAGGAAGAGGGAAGCAGAAGAGAGTTAAAGAGAGATTGACTGGAAGGTCTGAGAACCAGAGAGATGGCAGCATGAGAAGCACTTTGCCTAATGTTGCTGGCTTGGAAGATGGAGAAGGGGGCCATGAGCCAAGGAATGCTGGCAGGCACTGGACACTGGAAAAGGCAAGGAAGTAGATTCTTCCCTAGAGTATTCAGAAAGGAATCAGTCCTGCTGACACTTTGATTTTAGTCCGTTGAGGCTCAGATTTCTACAGAAAGGTAAGATAAAAACTTTGTGTTGCCTTGAGCTACTAAGTTTGTGACAATAGCAGTAGAAAACTAATAAAAGGCTTACCACTGGGTAGAAGTAACCTGTGAGAATTACAGAAGAGATGTGCTTCAAAAGGGATGACCCTGAGAAGTTGGTTAACAATAATCACTTAAAAACACAGTATTACATTTCTTTCAAAGTTTTGTTTTATTTTCCTCTCATGTACAGATTCTGAGTCAGAGGAGACAGTACAGGTGAAAAATGCCAAAAAGCAACCAGAAAAATTGCCATTGTCTAAGCCTGGTAAAATTCTGCGGCAGGATCCTGTTACGTACATTTCAGAAACAGGTAAGGATACTGGATGTGTTTAATGATTTAGAGAGAAGCAGTGTGTGTTATGTTCTTATGCTTCTCATTGGAATTTGCAAATAAAGGTCAAGGTTTGTAGAGATATGAGCAACATTAAAACTTTGCTTACATGTATGGGCCATTATTTGAGAGTATGAAGGTATACATGGTAGGTAAATTGTTCAGTAAACAAGGAATGGAATAGGAAAAAACATTGTGTGTTGTAGAAGGAACCCGAGACTGGAAGGTCAGAGCTCTGCCTGGAGAGTACATCCTTGGTTCCCTTTTAACAGCTGTGTGACTTTGAGCTAATGCTCAGTAAGTCTGTCTCCCTTTCTTTAAAGCAAAAACACTGATTGCATAGACTTGTTGGGAAGACTTAATGGGTGATAGATATGAAAGGGCCAGACCTAGTGACTGACATGTAGGCAATCAAAGGAAAAAAGAAAAACAAAAACAAAAGAAGTATACAGATTAGCTTTGTAAGTTCCCTGAGACAATTTATTTGATAAAGTTCTTCAGATCAAAGACAAAATGTATGTGATGGGAACATATTACTTGTAAAATTTTTGGTTAGCTGAGTTATTCATTATGGCAGATTAACTCTTTAACCTTTTTGTTCTATTGCTAAATATCTGCTCAGGTACATTGTGTAAATGAACTCTTGCATTAAGAGGTTTCCCCCCATCCCCCCGCTACCTTGGTGAAGTTTTGAATATGTGGGAGGGATTCTAAAAACAGTATGTTGATAGGTTTATTAAGTAACTGAAGGTGGTGTGATCAAGCTTTCCAGAGACACCATGGTTAGTGAGCAGACAGCCATGGCCTTCAGCTCTGGGTCAAGGCTGTCGCTATCGGGTGATTTTAGGTACACAGAAGGGTCAGACACCTTAAGCTCTCATCACAGATTTTCTTTAACATGTGATTGTTTATTTCAGACCAGGTATTTTTGAATATTATTTTCTAAAGAAATGTCCAGCATTTTATTTGAAATTTTTATAAACATTAGGCAATGTTTACATCATTCTGCTGATTGCATGGACAGGTGAAAGTGAGCAGTGTCCCTTGCTTTAGCTAAAAATCTTGGGGTACCTTGTACCCATCTAATATGATGTTCAGTATTACATAGTATTCTGCTTTTTCTTTAAATTGAGAATTAGGAAAGAAGCTACCTCTTTTCTTGCCTGTTTTATCTTCTCATACTTTTTTATTCCTTGATATAATAGGTGAATGAGAGAAGATAAGCTCTTTTCCTTTCCTATGTAAAAGAGAATGACACTGTTAAAAAGAAGTCTACAATATAACTAGCATAATAAAATCAGAAATATAATGAATTTCAATAACAGAGTGCAGCCTCTTGAAATTAATACACAAACTGGAATGTTCTTGACCTTAAAATAATTCTTTTATTATTCTTCACTTTTTGTTAAGCGTTAGTACTGCATCATAAGTAAATATTCAGATTACCAGTATAAAGTTAAAAAATATTTGTGGTGATAATTATTTAAAAATAAAAATTCTAATTTAAAATTGTATTAGTTGGAGATTGGATCTTCTTGTGGAAAAGGGTTATGTGACATGATTCAGCTTTAAAACCTGTTAATTCCCAAAGAAAGAATTTTTGCTGTTTTATTCCATATTTTACCTGTTATACACCAACTTTTGTTATTTTGGATATTTTTCTTGCAGCATAGCAAGTGTAGTGTTTAAAACAGCATAGCCCCTGAGTCAGACTGCCTAGGTTAAGTCTTTGTTCACCTTCCCCGTGTCTTAGTTTTCTCATTTGTAAAATGCTGACATTACTAGTACCCAATTCAAAGGCCTTTGTGATGATCAAGTAAGATAATGCCTTAAAATAGTGTCTGGCACATAGTAAATGCTTAATAAGTATTGATTGTTATTTTTTGTTTGATTTTATTGTATGCCTATATCTGCCCTTAAAGACTATGCTGAAGACATTTTGCTTTTGCTTAAGTACTTAGGGCTCTCTTGATTATATAATAGTACTTTAGAAATTTAGAAATTGTGTTTGACTCACTTACGTCATTTATGTTATATGCATTGTCCAGTACGGGGACTGCTAGTTAAATGTGGTTATTGCACACTTGAAATGTGATGAAATCAAATCGAGAGTGGTTTTAATGTAAAATACAGATTTCAAGGACTTAGCATAAAAGAAAGTAAATTATCTTTTTTTGGTATTGATTACATATTGAAGTGATAATTTGGATATATTGGGCTAAGTAAATTATATTATTAAAATTAATTTCACCCTTTTTAAAAACTTGAATGTGAAAATTTACTTTATGAAAATTTAAAATTACATATGTGGCTTGCATTTTTTATCTATTGCATAGTGTTTTATAAACAATGTGGAACATATTTAGGAAATCACCTTAATTTAGAAAATAACCTAGTTTAAGTGTTTTTGTTTATGTCATACAGTTCTTTAGGCTATCTTATTGTACAGATCTTTAGGTTTATCATTTAGTTCCATGACATATTTTTCACCATTTTATTTGATTAAATCTATTTTGCGCTATTTATTGATTTTTAAAGTGCCTAACTACATTAATCTCCCAAATACAGGAAAAGGAAAAAACTGCTGATAAATATCTTCATAGCTAACCATCGACTCTAGTGAAAAGGTTTTGTGGGTTGGTAAAAACCGAATTCTGTTGTACTAGGTAAATATTTTTACTTTTAGCTGTTTAATGAAGTGAAAGACCTTGAGTTTTGTTTGGCAAAGATGACCTTTTACTATCCAGTTTCATCAGGGGCTGGTGTTTGGTTGAAAATGGTGGGGGTTTTCCCTGTGTTGAGAATTGTTTATGACTGGTCATCTTAATAGTATGTAATTCCAGAGGCAGTTAGTGATCTTGATGCTAAATGGGAAAAAATTAGAAATGTGTTCTCCAGGTTACTATGTAATATCAGTGACCTGTGACTTGGGGAAAATAGTAGCAGAAAATATTATTGGGGATGTGTGGGTAGCATTCTTTTTGCTAGTTTTTAGAGACATATAGTTTTGTGTACAGACAAATAGGAATGGATTCTCTATAGGGTAGAGAGTTTTTCTTAGATGTTTTCAGGGAAACCTGGAGTTACTGAGAGAAAAATTCGAATTAAGAGGAAACTAAGCACTGTGTATTATATTTCTTTGACTGTACTTGTTCAAAAATTATTGTTGATTGTGGGCTAAAACTCTGTAGAAACCAGTTTAGCATTTTTGAGGATGAGTAAAGTCTTTAGATTAATGTTATTTTAAAGTACCTAAGTCACACATTACTAGAGTAAAAAAAGCAATTTTGAGTTTAAGATTGTACAGAGCTTCCCCGTGGAAGAGCCCAGTAGTTCTTTTTTTTTTTAAGAACATTTTAACCACACATTTTATTTTTTTGATCCCTCTACAGCCAGGAGTACTTTTTTTCTCTTTAACAGTGAAATGTATCTAAAAGTTGTAACGATGCAGTATCCATTTAACAAATTTGCCTGTAACCAAAGAGATGATGATCTCATATTTTCAGGGAACAGTCTTTTTTGAGAACTGCCGGGGTCCAACCCCAGCAGGTCCAGGGGTCCCCGAAGGTGTGGACGGAGTCGGTGAAGAAGGAATGACACGGAGACAGCGTTCAGTTGATCAGCAGCCTTGCCAGGATCTCTAGCCACAATCTCCAGCCAAGTTCTGTGTCCATGTTCTCTTGCT